TCATATTGGTAGGAAGACTTAGAGGAACGTACCTAGTCCGAAGTCCATTGTATGCATGATCATTTCCAAATTCGGACCGTGGACGTGGTACATTCCTAGGAGTTTTGCCGGCATCGTCAGTGAATCTCGCCATTCTTAGCACCACACAACAACTCGTCAAAGAGACAAGTTAAGCCGATCCTTTAAGCAGACGTATGCTAAAAATTTGTGGTATCTCCCCTTCTGCGCTGGGCTATTCACATTTCCTATATCCTTCTATCAAGCCTTCACTGTTACAATTTATACCGTGCTTATTTCGATGTAATGTGGTGTGCTCTTTGAGCAGCAAACATGAAAACTCTTAGACTTCACGCTGTCGTTTTCACCCCCTTCACCCTTGTGCTGGGAATGTTGATTAGAGTTTGAAATATTGTTACGCACTCATTCCCCAGGTCTTATCACAGTCTTTCTCTTGCCCCGTAAGATCCGTCTGCTATCTTCCTGGTTAACGTATTTAATTTGATCCCTGCCACCTCATCTGTGCTACTCGAAGCGTTATTCGCCCTCCCCTACGTGTGGGTGACTAATTCGAAGCTTAAGCCTTTGAGTAAGTCTCATGCTCAAGCCTTTGCTACATGTACCATGTCTATGGTACAAGAGACCTACCGTCAGCCAACTAGTTCCAGTCTATTCTGTTTCTATCCCTAATACCAAGTCTATGACTTGATATGCCTTAGTCTCTTGCGTGTTAACCCATAAATGTTATGGTACTATTTGTTTTGATTAGGTTCAATGCTGAACCACAACGTTTGTGGGTTGGCACTCAAGAGACTCAGACATACTAAGTCATAGACCCGGTATTACGGAATACATTGCACGAACGGGGCACGAAATCGATTGGAAATCCACCGATAGGTTTTCTGCATATGATGAAAATACGAGAAAACGCAAGATCCGAGAGGCTATTGATATACTGACTGAGAGAAATCTAATGATAAGGAGACTTGAAGAAGGCAAGATCAGCGAAAACTTTGCATATTGCCTAAAAAACTCTGAGTAAACCAGACAACAATAAGATCAACGTATAGAAGACAACTGGATCTGGGTAATATCCTTAATTTTAGGAAAAAAGATCGAAGGTGGGCGAGAAAGGAACAATCAGAAGCAAGGAGGAGACGTCTTTAGTGAGCTTAATCAACACAAGTTGAACCACGACAATTATTGGTTAGCACACGAGACTAGGACATATGAAGTGATAGACATGATATTACAGATAGAAACAGTAAAGACGCAGTGGAGACTAGAGCTATTTGGCTAACAATGGTCGTGTTTAATCATAGATGCGATCCTTGAATCACGACTATTGTTAGCCAACTAGCTCTAGCCTCCACTGTTTCTTTCCTTTTTCCATCTATAATACCAAGTCTATAACTTCCTATGCTCTAGTCTCTTGTGTGCCAACCCACAAACGTTGTGGTTCAACATTGAACCTAATCAAAATAAGCAGTACCACAACATTTGTGGGTTAGCACACAAGAGACTAAGGCGCAGCAAGTCATAGACTTGGTATTACGCATAGAAACAGGAAAGACGCGGCGGAGACTGGATCTAGTTGGCTGACAGTAGGTTTTAGCATAGACGTGATCCATGTAGCCCGGGTTTGAGCATGGGACTTACTTAGTCTTTAGCCTCGAATTAGTTACTCAGGCGCAGGGGGGGTGAATAACGCCTAGAGACCAAAATAGAGGCTAAACGTCTTGGCCTTCACATTAACATTTAGAGTTTCCTATATTTACCTCCACATAAACCTACGTAGGGTTGACATGGTATTTTATGTATTTAATTTCACTAAATTATGTATAATGGATATTAATTTTCTCCCTTGAATGAGTTCTAATTGGTCATCTGATTTGATTTCTTAAATATATGATGATGGAAAAGGACCAGTGATTTAATTTTCCTTGATATTTTCCTAATCAGTTCTCGAGTGTTATTCATATTTCTTTTTCGCCTATGCCTGACGTTTTTGGAATATTGAGTGGTTGGATTTCTGACTTTACTCTTGTTCCCCATAACCAAAGTTAATTTTTTTTATTTCTTTGGAACATTTCCTTTACAATTTTATTTATTATTTAAAGCATGATTTTTTCTTCTACATGTTCGCTGTGAACTAAGGCAGTCTGGCTATGTTTGGAGATACGAGCCGAACTTCGTTCTTATCTAAATTATTTTTTTACCCAAAATTGATTTACTATTTGAGAGTTCAGCTTTGACTCCTTTTTATTTTCTGTCCTGCATTTGTAATAAACTTCTCAATCAGATCAGAGATATGAAAACCAAGATGGTGTGGCAGTCTCCTTTAGCTTTATAGTGTTCCTTCGACCTTGTTTTCACAACTTGGTCTGAGTGTCAGAGAGATATTGTGGAACGTATATAGTCTCGTGTCCTCTGCCATAGTATTCATGATTTCCAGCATTGGACCATTGGCTGGGTACATTCCCAAATGTTTCGCCGGCATTGTAAGGGAAAGGTGCCATCGCAAGCACAGAATTACCACTTATTAAAGTGACAAGTCAATCAGATATGCAATGAATTGTGAGGACCCTATCTTTCTCCTTTTTTGCTTGAATACTTTGCTCAGAAAACTTAACTAACCACAGTGGCTTCAGGCCTCGATTTTTGAGGCTGTGATTCGGTATTGTGTTGATTTTATTCCGATTTTGCAACTTGGTCTTAACATACCTAGTTTACGTTCTCTCTAACAATATTCATGATAATTTCTAGCATAGGATCGTTGATCTAGTACATTCCCAGATTTTCACTGACATCGTGGTCAGCTTCGTTGGGTACAAGCGCAATCCTTTAAGCCTTCTTATCTTTTATTCAGTATCTCTTTATTTCAGTTAGCCTCCAATATTCTCTGATATTTATATATACCTCTATTAACATATTTTTTGAAATTGTGTATTTTTTTGGGTTTCCATATTTCTTTTCTCTACTTCCAGTTTCCGTCGTTTACTTAATTGGTCTTTTATTGTTTTACAGACTAGGAAATAGTCTTTATTATAGCCTCTATCCTTTTGTTGCTTTATTATTCCATCACAATAACTAATTCAGGTGCTGCCGTGATTTTTTTTCTTGTGCATTCTGTAAGCTCAAAGGTCTCATCCAGATTTACCAGAACTGACTTTGTATTTCAAAATCAAATTACATGCTTTATTCCTAGGCGGGAAAGAAGGACGAATCTGAATAGTTTTAATTAAATTACATGAATGGAAGATACCAACGATAATCTGTAAAATTTTCTTTAGAGTATGCGACAGCAATGACATAATGCGTATTGTTGATTGCATTCTTAAACTCTACCTCTCAACACGTCAGCTAGTAAAGACTAAGTCACGTGTTGATGGCAATCAAAAATAAACATCACATCTGCTTGTTCTTCATTCCTACACTTAAATGTTGCATTGTATTCGACCTGGAGGCCATGCACTCATATAACCGGTACAGACCTTATGCACCTCAAACCTCCATTTTATCTCATTTTGCGGGAAACGTGGTATCACGGATATCGGCCTACCTACTCCATTGGATAATTATCATTTCATTACATGTATCTCGTTACAATCTTTTTATGACGATATCAAACTAAACTTTAAATCAACTGATACACTTTAAATATAACACAAAATTACTTTTTTATATTGACCCTAACAAAAAAAGTAGAAATAGATCATACTTCATGTCTAACAATTGTTTTTGATGTTATATATTTCTTGAGGATACGGTATCTGTATTCTTTAACGTTTTGTCTTATACTGTACCATATCTTTATTTTCTTTGTTATTATAACTTTCTGGATACTAAGAAATTATTTCCCAGCGCTTATTTTTATCTTTAAATTCTATATAGAATTGTCGATTTCATTTTTTAAATCCTACATTATGTCATAATTTTTCTTTTCCTTTACTTCTACTTGCTACTTTCTTAAATAGCATGAATTCGTCACCCAAACGCATTTGACGCGTGGTCTCACATTGAAGCTTTTACAAGTCAACAAAAACCCAGATTTCCTTGCTGCCGCCAAAGGTGTAATCTGTCCTGCTGCTCTCGTCTCCTCCCCAGCAGATGCCGGGGCCTCAGGCGCTTCAAGTGCTATTGTAGGGGGTGGGCAACAACTAGGTCTAGCTGCCAAGACCAAATGCATCCTTGGCAAGACAGACCTTAATGTTAAAGTATGTTTATATTGTTCTATCTCCACAGCACATTCTTCAGGCCATAATTTACTTTGTTTGAGACTATTAAATACTTTACTCATTGAATAATAAGGCATTTTGCTAAATATTTGATCTGAAACTAAATCTTATTTTAATGTCTTATCTCCGGGAGCCTTATTTTCCTACTTATTTCCTACAAATTATACTATCAGTTGTCTGCGACTATTTTCATCATAGTCGAAGATAGGAAAATCAGGATGGTGTGGCCTTTTGTATGGTCGTGGTCTCCTTTCGTTTTATAGAAGTAGTTAGATCTTGGCTTCCCAACTTGATAATATTCGCAGTAAGACCTAGAGAAACACATCGTGTCCGGTGTCCTTAGTACGCATGATAATTTCCAGTCGGACCGTCGGCTTGATACATTCCCAGACATTTCGCCGGAATTGTAGTCAGCATCATTACTGATTGGTGTCTGGGGAACCTATTATTAGTGTCTATATTATACTACTGATTAATAATTGACAGAAAAATCTTTTATCCTTAATGTGCACATAAATATAATGTTTTCTTTACCTATTTGGAGGGATTCGAAAGAAAGAAATTTTTGCAAATTGTGATACAAACTCAGACATTAGGCAATCTTTTTTCGGGCGTAGATAGAGCATAGGTTTCTTACTGTTGCAAGCATGGGTAACTGATTTATCTATAAAATATTTAAGCATGAATTTTAACTCCTTAAATTACTTAATTAACTGAATACATTGATATTTTTGCCCTGAATTCGAGCTATATTTGAAGTGTTTGAATCCAAAAGTTACAAGATGAAAATTTGGCCAGACGGAGATTTTATACCTTTTTCCTGAATATTAATTTGGCATACAGAGGAATCAACATAGACTGCAAAATTTGGCCTTATCCTCAATTTATCGTGCGTTTTGGTTTATATCTTCGCTCAAACTCGATTGCCTTAGGGCTGTATCTACCATAGGTCATATAATTTGGTTAAGAACTGATTTCTCATGCTAATATAAATAGACTTCGCAATGATATTAATCTCATAATATATTCATATCTAAGACGGACCACAGTTTCGACCTCTTCTCTTCAGCACTCCTAACGGGACTCAAACCGTCTGCACTACTCAACTACCTACATAATTGTGGAACAATTCAGTTATCAGTCTATCGCTTTTTCGATCTAGGATAAATGCGGCTCTTATTAAGGATCCAGTTGTATTTTTGAAACCAACTCAATGCGAATATACCATGCTTGTTTAGTCTATCCTCATCTTTGGTTTGGTATAACTCTATTGCTTGTATTTGAAATGAAGAATATACCTAAAATATTAATAATGATCAAACAAGATGCGAAATTTAAATGTTCTTTTTAACCTTATACTTGGATACATGAATATTTTGTTTTTTTTTAATAATTTTGTGCAATCTTTCATTTTTTGATAACATTTATTTAAGTTATTGCTAATTATTTTTTCATACAGTTGCCTTAAAATGGCCATACTAATATGAATTTCCGTACAATAATCGTGCGGGTATAGTTGCACATTTTAATACAATCTTCGCATGATGGCATTTATTTTTTTTCTCACCACGTCTCTTATTCAGGATAAGACGCTTGTCGGAAATCTTATTGTAAGTGGCTCATCTGTACCTACTACTAAAGCTCGATTATTTTTCTCTGCTAACTATTTTGTTTTTTGGCAATTTGTTATCTTTTTTTAAATTCATTAGAGCCTAATCAAACTGCTCATCAGTGCTAACAGATAAATCAACAGAAGAAATTTTCGTTTAGTTAATTATTTTTATCTCTCATCACGCATTTTCCCCCTATTACATTACTTCACATTTTAAAGTTCGCATGCCTTTTCTCTTAACTTCACTAACTGGCGTATCTTTTTCTAGCTAATAAAGTGGCTGTTCTTTATTCAGCTTCTGCATGTGGTTACGTATGTACGCTTTGTATGGAATTTAGAAATCAAGCCATGCCCTTTTTTGTTTGGTTGTCCGTTTGGCAATCTTTGCAACGGTCGGACTTATCTGTCCCAGCCACGTCTATCTATGTGACGTACATCTGAGTGAATAATGTAGCGACATCTAAATAAATTCCTCTTAATTCATATTCATATTTATTTTTCATTTTCTTGTATAGCCTTACAAAGATGTTTGCGAATACATTTTGTAGACTGCTTGTGGCAATTGGCTAAGCTCTTAACCAACCAGAGTTCTACAATTCCTTTGTTTATCTTATTCTCCGCCAGACTTTATACGCACTAACACACACCTACGCATATTTATAAGCCAATCTTCACTTGGGCGGTCAGGCACAAGTGTCATTGAGCCTAATGCAACTACGCGCGAGCTTTATTTAGGATCATCCTTGCTATGATTTCCTTGATGAGTGAAAATCTCAGTTTCTCCTTTAATTATGAAATAAGACAACACAGTGAATTATCCCTTCTTAACATATTTAAGTCAGCTTTTATTTGCTCGACCAGTTAGTAGTTAGTTCGTTTATCCCACTAACGCCGAGCCCTGATACTTCAACTTAACCAAGGTATGCTATAAGTGAAACTAGGGTTCAAAATTACCCTCTACATTTGGTATGCTGGTATTCATAGGTTTCGATTCTGTCAATAGATCTTGT